TTCGCGCCTGTTAGCCGCCACACCTCACTACGCATTCTCTTCGCAATTGCCGCCATGAAGAAGAAGAAGCTGCGGCAAATTGACGTCGCGAACGCGTTCCTCTACGCACCTGTCGACGCATAGATCTTCGTGGAACTACCGCACGGTAATAACGGAGAGCCCAACCAGGTTTGCCAGCTGCTGAAGTCGCTCTACGGAATCAAACAAGCCCCGCGGCTATGGCAACAGCACCTACACGCTCGCCTCATTCGCATCGGGTTCCGTCAACTACCTCACGATCAAGGCATGTACCGGCTTACAAAAACGACGACTATATCCTATTGATCGTCTACGTAGACGACTTACTCTACGTCTGCTCCACCGACAGCATCACCACGTGGTTTGAAGGGGAGTTACAGAAGGACCTCACACTCACAGTCTCCTCTACCGTCACGCAGTACCTCGGGTTGAACATTCGAGAGGAAGAAGGCGCGATTCACCTCAATGCCGCTAAGTACATCGACACCATCGCTAAACGCTTCGTGCTCACGCCTACCACCATTTCTACGCCCTACCGCTACGCAACAGGAAACCACGAGGAAGGATCTACTCTACTCAAATTCGCGAGGATACGCGACTACCAGAGAAAGCTAGGATGCCTTCTCTTCGCCGCTGTTACCTGCCGCCCCGACCTCTCATACTCCGCAAGCCAGCTCGCCACTCATCTCAAGAGGCCTGAAGCAAAACACATGGCCGAACTCGACCGTGCTCTACACTATCTCGTCAGTACGCCAACGATCGGCTTAACATATTACAAGAACGCGACCACGCCGCCTAAGCTAATCGGTTACGTCGACGCAGATCACGCGGGCGACTCCGACAACAGACGATCGCGCACCGGCTATATCTATCGCTTCGAGCCTATCGGGCCTATCTCCTGGCAATCGAGCAAGCAGGAACTAATTGCTCTCTCGTCAACTGAAGCAGAATATATTGCACTCTGCTCAGCCACCAAGGAAGGACTTTATCTTCGCGAGCTGCTAGAAGAAGCGAAGTTAGCCGAGTTATCCAACTTTACCCTGTTCTTCGACAACCAGTCGGCAATTCGCATCGCCAAAAAGAGCGGTTTTGCGAACAGGACGAAACACATCGCCCTGCGATACTTCTTCGTGAAGGACGAGATCGAGAAGGGAAGGCTCGAGCTGTCATACTGTCCCACGTCCGAGATGGCAGCTGACTACCTGACCAAGAAGCTCGGAAAGCAGAAGTTCGAATATTGCATGCTGCTGACTGGACAGAGCCACGTCAGCGACACTCCAGAAGCGAAGGGGAGTGTTGGAAACAATCGGTCATAAGCACCTCTGTCGTGTCGAAACACTAAAAACACAAGTGAAGCAACGCATATCGAGGCACCAGCGAGTCAACCCTCGGAGGTTGAAGCAACAGCTGGAGGTTACGCGAAGGTCAAAGGTCAGCGACCTTTGACTTGACAAATGCAGCGCGACAGCAAGGACACACAACTGACTTGATATTGAAGCAGTTGCCCGAGTCGCACTGTATCGAACCGCAACAACCAACAGTAAAACAGCTACCGTATCATTCGTATCTCTTCGTATTCCTTGTAATCTTATATAAAATCTTGTATCTCTTTGTTTTAATCAACTTACTTTGCCCTCACATACTAGCGCAAGGTGGTTGACGCTTCCGCTACTACACCACTCTACCCAGAGTTTAACCCTACCAAAGATCCTAAGGGGCATTCAGCCCAACATACCTGACCTGGATGAGAAAAGGTAGGAGTCACCGTGCTGCTGCTGCATCACCCTCCCACATGGCCCATTCACCGACAAGGAGAAGGAAAGTAGGAGATGGGAATATTCCCTTTCAGTTGATCTGGTTTTCACCATTGGGTTGCAACCAGCTCTCTCTTCTGTGTGCTGCCAACTCTCGCATTGATTGGCTTCAGAAAACATGGCTGATATACTCCATCTGAAGCTTTGATCTACATGACAGTATCCGCACGACTGCACCTCCTCACTACAGCCACACTCCACTAGCTCCATGCCCTCCCCATGGTTGGTTACTGTCAACTCAGGTCCTGCTTCGGTGTGGAACCCATCTGTATCCCTCTGAGCTCGAGGGCGTTATGCTTGACTGGGTGAAGGGCAGGCATGAGTGAGGGACATGCAAGAGAGGAAAGGGACTGAGGAAAGTGAAAGTGGTACAGAAACGACACTGGAGTGGGATGCATGATATGTGATGAGGTAAGAGATGGCATATGGGATAAAGTGTAGGATAAGTCAAGGGATGAGGCATGGGATAAGTTATGGGATGAAGCATCACTAGAGTTCCTGATAGGACAAATAAACATGGCTGCTCAGTAACTTAAATCTATGTTATTCTCGTCACAAAATGATGATTTTTTTAAAAGTAGGGATTGCATCTAGCCATCTTGGTTCTGACCACGCCCCACGCATCACCTTATGGCGAGGTGACTGCCAGATGCAAGCAAGGGGAGATAGAGGGAGGCCAGGGGAAGAGATGGTGGAGTTGTGACCGCAAGGAAAGACGAAGTGGCTCCCCTGTTCTGTCACCAACATCCAACCACAATTGGGAAGGGGGAGAGGGGAAAGGGGGAGATGGGGGGCAAGGGGCTGGGAGAGGGAGAGGGAGGGAGACCTGGGGATTGGGGCATAAAGGGGGAATCTGAGGTAGAGTAGGTGGCCAAGTGCAGCGGATGCGGGAGCGAGGAGGGACTGAAGGTTCAATGGCTATGATGATGCTGCTTGGTTGGGTTGGTGGGGGAGAAGATGGGAGGTGGTAGCGGGCAGAGAAGAAATTGCAGGTGTGATGTCTGAAGTGGGTTGAATGGAGACCTTAAAATAGGGAAAGGAGAGATGAAGGAGCAACGGGGATTTCGCAGGGAAGGAGTGGTAGAAGGGACGCGAGATGCAGCGTGAGGCAGGGATGACATACTCAAGCGTGATCAATAGCAATGGATGGAAGAAGAGGGATAGGGAGAGCTATTGAATTTGATTCCTCCGCCTACTTGGCTTCTCTCACCTCTGCATTGGCACGTCGCCCTGCCTGCCGTCACATGAAAAAACATCCACAATCTCACATTCGTGGCTCAAAACAGCCCTTCCTCCCATGGTGGGAGGGAGTTAGCTTCCCATGCCTCCCTTACGCCCGCCTCCACCCCAATCCCTGCTAACCCACTTCACCGCCACCACTGCAGCTCCGCCATGGTGGGATGCTGCTTCACCGCCATTGGTGTCCAGCAGTGTGCTGCCATGAAGGGGGGCATGCTGCAGCCATGCTCACCGATGGTGGGGAAGTGGAAAGGAGTGGGTGGGGGTCAGGGAGAGGGCGAAGAGGGCCGAGGCATACAACAAGGAAGGGAGAGTGGAAGCTAGCTGATGGCACTGCACGCAGAAAGCGGTGATCAGATTCATATTTCACGGGTGAACGAACACCAAAAGCACCATGCTGGTCGCGTATGGAGCAAGGCACAAAAGGAAAACGGTTTGAGTAGCAGCATTGGATGAAAGAAGAGATTAAGGGTGAGGAGATTATACAGATTTTATACTCCGCTTTTCTCGTGTGCATGTTGGCACGGCCCTTGCCTGACATCACCTGAGAAGCCGTTCGCAACCATTGCATCTGCTGTCACCGACTGAACGATGTGTCCAATAACAGCGATGGGAGCATGAGAGTACGATTCAAGCATGCCACTTAATGGGCAATGGACAAGAAGAGAAAGGCAGTGGACAATACGGTGGGCGATGAAGCAACATCCATGATCTCTGCCCCCTCATTGATGCTGACATTCCTTCTGATTCACTTCTGCCCTCCGTCGCAGGCATCACATCATGCCCTGCCTCCCGGGCAGCACATAATAATCTTATATGAGACAACCCGTAAAAGAAAAAAAAATCCCTCCATTGTTCAAGAGACAAGACATCTAATAAATAATAGCTATCACATACATATTGCACCCAGAATTATCCAGGAATTCCTGCCCTTACATAGTTGTTCCATCCCGCCAGAGGGGCCCTGCAAGATGTTAGTAGAGGTTTTTGGGCAAAGGTCGATGCTGCAGCATGCCACCCAGCCAAGCATAGACAATGCCCTCCAGCAAGCCGCTGCATCCTCATGCATAGCCCCTACAACAGCTGATAATATACACCCCAACTACTCCCACTCCTTGCACACTCCTGCATGTACTCTCCCCATTCGTCACACCCATTACCTCCACACCTCTCCTCCAAGAAGTCACAGTCAACTTTGCCCTCATGTGTCTCCGTCCCCTCCGTCACTCACAACCCTACCTACTTATCCGCATGCGCACAAGAGTACCTGCCATTTGGCAGTCGGAAAAGTTTCAGCTGGGTCAGGCCATTCACCTCCTGCAGCCCATCATCCGTGACTGCTGTGCCACCCAGATCAAGCCCTGTTAGACCTGTCAGTCTCCCCACATGCACCATGCCAGCATCTGTCACCCCCATGCATCCAGTAAGCCCCAGGTCTTTGAGAGAGGACAGAGCTGTCAATTGCAGCAGACCAGCATTAGTCAGCTTGGTACGATAAAGACAGAGCTCCTTGAGACTGGTCAAGGTCCCAATGCCTTCCAAGGCACTGTCTGAGACGTCCGTATCGTTAAGATTTAGAATCTCCAGCTGTGGCAGCCTGTAGAGGTGCCTGATGCCCTCTGCACTGAAGCCTGAACTCTTGAACAAGAGAACGCTCTTCAGGTGGGTCATTGTGGAAACATGACCGAGGATGGCGTCTGAGAGGCCGCTTAGATTCGCCAGGTACAGATCGGCTCTTCGTGATTGTGCCTTGATTCGCTGTAGGTGATGGATGATGAGGGAATGATTGACAAGAAAAGGAAGGACCATTGTGACAAGGGAATGCCAAACAATGCATGGCTCGATCATAACTTGCCATTCGTCTTTACTACGCCAGGAATAACCACATAGAGAAGAAACATCGAGCATGCATGCTCACTAAGCACTTATTCACGACACACTTACCTCCAATGCTTTCTTCCGATCGCCCGTGCACCGCCTGATTTCCAGCTCAATATTCAACTCCAGATCCTTCTCCACTGTCACTACTCTCCTCCTCTTTGAACTTTTCTCTCCCAGCCCGTTTACAGCCGATGCCCTACTACTCTCAACCCATTGCTCTGTCATAGCAACCTTGCATTCCGCCAACCCCCCCCTCACCACTGCCAACTCCCCTTTTACCATTGCCAACTCCCCGTTCACTGTTACCAACTCCCTCTTCACTGCTTCCAAATCTCTCTCCCTCTCCTCCACTACAGCAGCAGTCGCCTTGTTCTTCTCCTCCAAAACAGTCAACATACGGTGCAACTCATCCACCTCCACCTTGTGTGCAGCCAACTCTCCTCTCACTGCTGTCAACTCTGTCTCCCTCTCCTTCACCACAGCAGTCGCCTCATTCCTCCCTAAGTGGCGAAATACGCTTTTGCCCTTAAGCGTATAGCGTTTATCCGCTTGCGTATACACGCAAAACGCAATACGCTAGCAAATACGCAATACGCTCGGGAGTTTTTTCTGGGCAGCCCAAGGTGAAAAAATTCGGGAATATATAGAAATCTGCCGTTTTTCACAGCGATCATTTCGCGGTGGTCGAAATGCGCATCGGAGATCTATGGTAGCGGGAATGTCACTTCAATGTTTGGATTCAGGTTGGAGTTGCAATTTCGAATTTCAGGGTTCCACCTCTTGGAACCGAACCCAATCTACGAACTCCAACCTTTCCACTACGTCCCCTCCAACACATCGTTTCTCGTCATATCTACTTCGTCGTACTCACCTAGTCACTCACTCCAAGTCCAAAACGCAATCAATGTCTACTGCAGTTCCTCAACCCGCCACCCGATCCCACGCAAGATAACGATAGGGCATGTCCTCTTTGTGAGACTAGGGAGTAACTTCCCGATGTTGAGCACGAAGTCTTTAAGCATTTCGCGTCATAGGGGAAAAAATGAACCTGAGACACAACCTCCGTGAATCGCCCCTGTGAACTATACCTAGGGTGTTTTTTTCACCCTGCCCAGGTTTTTTTACCCTGCCCGAAAAAAACGTATTCCTGGATTCGGGACCTTAGCGTATAGCGTATAAGCGCATGCGTATATACGACACACGTATATACGCTATACGCGTATTTCGCCACTTAGATTCCTCCCTCCCATAACGGCCAACTTGTGCCGCAACTCATCCATCTCCTCCTTATGTGCAGCCATCTTGTCTCTCACTGCTGCCAGCACTGCCTCTTTGACCACGTCAATCAGTGTACCCATCACTCTCTCAGCCATGTATTCCAACGACCCCCAATCCAACGACTGATTCTTGCGTTCAACCGCCTCTTTTAATGCATCCAGTAAAAGCCTGCGTTAGAAGAGGGCCACGCGCCGTAAGAGAAACGGCAAAAAGGTGTAAAAGGGGAGGCCAAGAGGAGGAGCGGCCAGAAAGGAGTAGAAGTCGGAAGGGCAACAAAGGTGAGCAGAGACTGCCAGAACATGCTTTTGAGTCGACTCAAAAGCAAAGGCGAGCAGAGACTGCCAGAACATGACACCGGCGCACATGGTTGCAGCTAGGGATGAGCAAAGGGCGAACTCGAACACGTTCGTGTTCGAGTTCGCTCGAACATCACCATTTCCCGAACCGAACAAGGTTCGGTTCGGCGAACAATTTGGGCTGCAGGAGGTGTTCGCCGTTCGCCCATGGGGGCGAACATTTGGTATATGTGGGCGAACTCGAACATGTTCGAGTTCGCCTGTGAGCAATTTCGTTAAAGTCACATTTGTCAAACAGGGAATCTGGAGGGTTGGGAAGATAGATAGGGGGATGGAGGGTGTATATGTGTTCATGCAACGCACACTAGCATACGACACCATCATGTTTTGCCTATATAAAAGTCACTGTCAAATTAAATCCTACGCCTGCACACCACTGCTACTACCAACAACACCATGCTCCTCCGCGTCAGTGGTGTCGCCAACACCCACCCCATCCTGCTCCTCCTCCCCCTCCTCCTCCTCCCACTCGTCGTCCTCCTCCTCCCCCTCGCCTTCAATGGCGAACTCTGGTGGTGCCTCGCCTTTTGCACGGCGGCCCTCGCCTATCCTCTGTCCTGGGTGTGAGCTGTACCATGATCTGAGAATCATGGACGCTCGCGTCCTCTGAGAGGCTAGGCGGTGCCGCTTCCAAGAAAATGAGGTTGCGGCCGAGGGAGAACACGCGCTCGCTCGACGCGGACGTGGCAGGGATGGCAAGATAATCCCGGGCCATGCGCCTCAGCGTCTGCATGTTGGTGGCGCTGCGCCAATACTCCAACGCTGACACGTCGCACCGCACCCTCTCAGATAAGTACCTGCCAACCTCGTCATCCTGCACCATCCCACCCCTCCCCGCCTCCTGGCTCGCCGACAGACGCGCCGCAAGGCGTCGGCGACTAGGGAGAAACTCGGCGTCTTCGTCGTCATCCGCCGCGTCTCCCTCCTCCTCCTCCGTCACTGTGGCAAGTGGGGTCGGCCGAGGGGCAATCGCTGCAGCCCGGGCCTGGTACTCGGCCACGCGTTCGCGAACCAGCTGGATCACCTCGCCTGACGAGGGGCGAGGCCTCGCCCTCCGGTCGGTATCGGGATGCAGCGTCTCCCAGTGCGCGTCGTCGAACCACGCCGCCTTCATGGAAGGGTCCAGGAAGGTCGCGATCCACAGCTCGTTGCTGGACATCAGTTCATACTTCTTCAAGAGACCCAGCGCCGCCTCAATCATCGGCTTTAGCGTAGCCGATGGCCCCTTGGCAAGGCGCGACTCCATAGCGTCGATCAGGCCGTTGTAGTACGGCAGGACCATCGCCACTGTAGGGTACGCCGCACCCTCCGCTGCCTTTGAGACTTTGGCGAATGGGCTGAGGAAGGTCTAGACAGAATGCAGAGTCTCCCAGTCTGCGTCCGTCAGGCGCAAGGTGTCCAGCTTCGCCTTGTCAGTCTTCGACACGCCCTGTGGTGTGGGTTAAAACGTATGGGTGGGCGGGTGTTTAGTCAAGTCAAGCATGGCCAACAGTGGTCCAAGGATCCAAAGCAAAACACCCCAACATATCCACAGATTAAACCGCACACACAACACTTGGCACACACACACACCTGTGTCTGGGCAAAGAAGACAGTGATGGGTTCCTGCAGAACCCCAGCTTGCTCGACCATGTCGTGGGTCGACCCCCAGCGTGTGGGACTGTCCTGCACCAACTTCAACGCCGGCTTCGGTTTGGCGGGGTTGGCCTGCGCGTTCAGGGTCCGCTGAAGGCTCAAGAACTTCCCTGAGCGCTGTGGCGAGAAGCCTATCCACGACGCCATCTCTCTCAGGATCCGCAACAACTTGCGGATGGCAGCCACTGCGAGAGCTGCCTTCACTGCAAGGTTGATCACGTGTGCCAGGCATCTGCGCACATCACCAGACATTAACGGCGGAGAGAAAGGGAAGTGTGAGTACACATTGGCATAGACCCGAGAAACACTTCCAATCTCAAGCCGCATAGGCCCACCCACTCTCATCGCACATCCCACGCACACTCCCTTCCGTACCGGAAGTGCATGCGCGAGTTGAAGAAGCACTGGCCACCACCCTCCTCCGACATCCACCTGAAAGCGGCAGTGTTGCTGGAGGCGTTGTCTGAGGTGAACCCAAGACAACGCTTCTCCAACCCCCAGTGCACCACCGTCTCCTCAACCACCCTCGCCAACTGCTTGCCCGTGTGACGCCCGTGAATCTCGCGGAATTCAAACACCATTGTGCGCAGCTGGAAATTCTCGTCGATCCAGTGACCCGTTACCACTAGCCACGCCGTGTTGTTGGGTGCCGTCCACATGTCGATGGTGAACGACACCCTGCACCCCACCTCCCCCTCCTTCGCCGGCATCTCCGCAACGGATGACTGAAGAGCGGCAGCCGCATAGACCACTGTGTCGCGGGAAACCGTCCAGCGCGAGGGGATGAAGTTCTTCTGCGCGCAGTTGCGGTTTAGCAGGATGAGTAGCTCACGAAAATGGAGAGGGGTAGACACAAGGGGGGGGAGAGGGGACTAAACGAAAACCCGGGGCCACAAGCAAACAGTCAAAACACAAGCGGGTGCAACACATGCATGGCGGGTGCAACACATGCATGGCGGGTGCAACACATGCATGGCGGGTGCAACATGCATGGCGGGTGCAACATGCATGGCGGGTGCAACATGCATGGCGGGTGCAACACATGCATGGCGGGTGCAACACAAGCGGACAGACCCATCCACTAACCACATACTTGCCCAAGAATGCATGGGATGGGATGGGGCACTTACAGCCTCGGCCTCGACGATGCGGAAGGGGAGGTCGCAGGTGACCACCAGCTTCGTGATCGCCTGCCGTAGCTGCACCGAGGTCAGTTTGGTTGTCATCCACCGCTCGATCCCGCCTGACCCATCACCTCCATCAGTCGCCTTCCCTTTCCCCTTGACGAGTTGCGGCCAAGTTTTGGCATGTGGCCACTCATAGACGTACCTAGGCATGATCATCCTGCCCCGGCGGGTCGGGCCGACCCGACCCGACCCGGGTTTTGACCCGGGTCGGGCCAGACATTTTGAAGCGTTGACCCGGGCGGGTCGGGTCGGGTTTACCCGGCCGGGTCGGGCCGACCTGACACCCGAAACCGGGTCGGGTCGGGTCGGGTCAGTTTTTGACCTGAAATTTGACCCGACTCGAAATCGGGTACCGCGCCCTAAGTCGGGTCGGGCATTTGGCCCGACCCGAGTTTCCCTCCCTCGACAATTCGAAGTAAAGCAGATCGCCAAGTCAATGTCTAGGGTTTTTTTTTTCCCTCGACATTGACTTCGATCTGCTATACCTAGGCAGCTAGCACTCTCTAACCTAGCTCGTTCTTAACCTCTATAACTCTCTAAACCAGCGCCCATGTTTAGGAACCCTATTTCATGTGGTTCAATGTTGGCGGAATGGAGTTCTTAGCCTAGCGTGACCAACCACAGATTTTCGATTTTATAGACTTACTTATTCCAAGCTCTCACACACGACTAAACTCTGGCCCCGCGTTCAAATCGCCCACTTCGCGCCTACCACGCCCGCATCTTTAGGGACGCGACCCCCAATTGTCTAGGCCTGCGCCATTACAAAAACGTCGCGACTCCAAGGTCCGAAACGTAATCGACGCCGCTTGCACGCGAATGGAGGGGGAAGAAGACAGCTCACGGGCTATTCCTGGGGCTTCACTTGGAGGCCTCCCGACACCGGCCTCCAGGGCCAGTTTTCGCTTGGGGAGCGTCTTCAATGGGCAGGAAATTGGGTGGGACGATGCAATCGTGACGAGGAGGCGTGAAGAGGTGCGGGAATGGGAGTCTCTAGGACCTGGCCCGGTGACGGAGGAGCAAGGAACACGGGGAAAGGAGAAGGACCCGGATTGGAGGCCGGCTCCGGGGGAGGCGGCCGGCACGAGTGGAGGATCGGGTGATGAGGGTTGGGGAGGGAGAGGAGCGGGCCAGGCTGGTGGCAGTGGCGCGCATGGCAGCGGTGCAGCAGCAAAGAGGCCACGCCCGAGTGGGCCTGTGGGGTCGGGAGCTGGAGGGGCCGGGCCGGCGTCGAATTCGCAGCCGCAGGGGGCAGCCGCGGGTGGTTCTGAGGGGTCGGGCGCAGCAGGGGCAGGTACCTCCGCCGCTGCGGCAGGTGGTGCACCTTTGGGTGGGTCTACGGGGGCTGGAGCTGCTGCTGTGATTGCAAGCCAGAGGTCCGACAGGGCGGGCAGGACCCCTACCGACGAGGAGCTGGACCCATGGACTGAGGAGGTGCTTAGGAATGCAGAACCCGGCCTGGTTCGTGGCATGTTCAGTGAGAAGGATGTGAACGAGGCTAGGAATTGCAAGATTTGCAAGAAGAAGATTAGCTGGAAAGGTAGTTGCACGAGCACGGGGAAGAGACACCTTAAGAGGAGCCACTACCCCAGCCTGCAGATCTGGTGTCGGCGTTTCAAGGATCCAAACAAGCCAGACAACCTGACGTTTCCCGAAGGGGGATGGGGTCCGGATGTCCCCGACCAGACAGCGTGGCCTTGGGAGCATGCAGCCACGTGGCCCAGGATTGTACAGACACCAGACAGCGCTGTGACTGGCGGATCCGAGGCTGGTGGGAGTAGGCAGATGAGCATGGCCGCATTCGTCACGCCGCGTGTTCATGGCCAGCAGCTGCGCGAGGGATTGGTGCTGCTATTTGCGGCAGCTGACCTTCCGTTTCGACTTGTTGAGTGTCGCGAGGTGAGTGACACCGTTCTCTTGCCGTTGGTCATGTTCATCTTCGTATTGAGGTGGTCATATTCGTACAGGGCAGCCGCACTGCATTCTGTTGGCTAATCCCGAAGCATCTTCATAATCCTTTTACCGACATCCTTTGACTCCTGCGTTACAGTTCAAAGCATTTGTCCAGATGCTGAACCCGGGAGCTGCGCTACTGCTCAGCTCACGCCATCGCTTGGCACGGGACATGCAGGCATACGGGGAGGCTGCTCGGGAGGACATGCGGCAGCTACTGGTGGGTGATGGCCTGGCGGGAAGGATGTCCCTCACCTTTGACATCTGGACCGGTGAGAACAACGTGGCCTTCATGGGGGTGACTGCCCACTATGTCACCAGCGATTTCCAGCTAAAACAGGCTGTTATAGACTTCAGGGAGCTTAAGGGCTCTCATACGGGGGACTTGATAGCCGATGAGCTGGAGGAGGTGTTGAGGGAGTGGGGCTTGGAGAAGATGCTGTTCGCCGTGACGTGTGACAACGCCGAGAACAACAGCAGGGCAATGCGTCTGCTGGCCGGTGTACCTGACGCCAGGCCGGGCTCACGGCCCAGGCACCCACCACTGCTCAGTCGCTGGAGGCACTTCAGGTACTATGGGGCTGTCTCCGTAAGGGTATGCTATAAACTGTTGGCGTAGTCCACCATGTTTGTTATGGAAGTGCTCATGTGGTACAGTGACATTAAGGTTGTGCACAATGCATTGCCCCAACAGGTGCATGGCGCACGTCGTCAACCTTGCAGTGCAAGCTGCACTGAAGGTTGACGAGGTGGCCGAGCCACTCAAGAGGCTGCGAGACGTGGCGAACTACATCGGCTGGTCCACACTGCGCACAGATCGTTTCTTCGAGCTCCAAAAGGGATACGCGGCGACCCGGCCCCAGGGTCCTCCCGGTTCTCGGCGACCATCGGGTCCGTTGCGTTTGATCGTGGACTGCGTGACGAGATGGGGTTCTACACTCCACATGGTGAACAGGGGCTTCGAGCTGCGCATGCCCATTGCCATGTTTTTCGACGATTCAGATGTACGTATGGTTGGATTCACATTCGCTTGTGACTATGGCGAATGGGGGTACGTGGGCATGGCTTGAATAGTGCCACCATCCCATGCATGTGCCACCATCCCATGCATGCATGTGCCACAATCCCATGCATGTGCCACCATCCCATGCGTGCATGTGCCACCATCCCATGCATATGCCACAATCCCATGCATGTGCCACCATCCCATGCATGCATGTCCCACCATCCCATGCATGCATGTCCCACCATCCCATGCATGTGCCACAATCCCATGCATGTGCCACCATCCCATGCGTGCATGTGCCACCATCCCATGCATGTGCCACAATCCCATGCATGTGCCACCATCCCATGCATGCATGTCCCACCATCCCATGCATGCATGTCCCACCATCCCATGCATGTGCCACCATCCCATGCATGTGCCACAATCCCATGCTGTGCCTCCATCTTTACAACCCATGTGACCCATACCAGTCATCCATCAGCAAGGAGACTAAGAAGGCGTGGGACGCCATCAGGTTGACGGATGCGCACTGGGACGACCTCGCCGAGCTCCGAGACTTCCTCACCCCATTCGAGCAAGTCACCCTCTTCGCCGAGGGTTCCCTGTACCCTACCCTCTCAGCCGTTGTACCGCAGTACAACGCGCTGATTGACCTGCAGGAGAAGGCACAGCGCACTCCTGGCATCTCCCCTCTGCGCTCATCGCTGATCACTGCTGCTCTGAGCAAGCTGGAGCGACACATGGGGGGTGTGAGCGAGGAGGCAGCGATAGCCACTTTCTTGGACCCGCGCCAGAAGCTCGCGCCCTTCAAGCACCGAGCCAGGGCAGCAGAGGGGAATTCGAGAGGGACAACACTGGAGCTAGGACCTGATAGGGTGAAGGCCCTGGTACGAGCGCGCCTTCCAGAGTACCAGGCAGCCAGCACCACGGCGCTGCGAGATGGTGGGGAGGTGACTAGTGCGAGGGGTGCAGGGGTGCATGCGTCGGCAGGGGGTGGGGCTGTGGATGCATCGGCAAATGTCAGCATCTAGTCTCAGTTGTTCGCTGCGTGGGACGCCATGGAGGCCGAAGAGGGGGAGGATCTACAGGATGAGGTGGATCAGTACCTGGCAGAGGGGAGGCAGAGGGGTGGAAGCGCATTGGAGTATTGGCGCAGCAGGGAGACACTGAAGGGCTTGAGGGCGATGGCTAAAGATTATCTGGGGGTACCGGCTTCGTCAGCAGCGAGTGAGCGCGCATTCTCACAGAGCAGGAACATCATTACTTGGCAGCGACACCGACTGGCAGCTGGCCAAGTGCGTGCTTCCATGCTGATTAAGACGTGGCAGGACCACCACCCTTCGGGGACTCTCGCTCCCAAGGGCACCTCAACGGCCAATCCCACCCTTGGAGTGGAGGATGAATCGATGGGGTTGTGATATTTGTTCGTAATTGATGCTCTTGCCCTTAACTTCATCAGATAACATGATCGGACCAAAACTTGATTGGTTCTTATTCCTGTGCGTCGAACTACTAGTTGACTCCGTTAGCTTTTAGGCCTTTGTAGGTTTTTTCCAAACACGTGTAACAGTTTACGCAACTTTGAATAGTTAATTTACAGAAGGGAGGACGTTCATATAATAATATATTACACAAACATTCAGTCTTTGCAACACTGGACAGTAGCGAGGAAACCCCTACACACTGCATATGGGGTTCTGGCCCGACCCGACCCGACCCGGCCCCTACCCGACCCGACCCGGGGGCGGGTCAAGCCTGACCCGGCACCCGATACCCGGGTCGGGCCAGGATTCCTAGAAGTTCCGACCCGACCCGACCCGACCCGAAACCCGGCTGGCCCGCCCAAGTCGGGTCGGGTCGGGTCGGGTCGGGCCTAATGATCATCCCTAGACGTACCCATCCGGCACTCCCTTGTAGCCCCCACGGGGAAACGTCTCCCCTGGCAAGTGAACGGACGGGGTGTGGTAACGGTGATGCCACACATGCATGTGCGCAGTGTGGAAGCTCGCAAAGTGCCTCTCGCCGGGGGTTGTTGTGGATTGCTTCCAAGAAATCCTGTCTGTGCAAATCTTGCACTGACGCTTCTCGTCTGCCCCTAACGGTCCGAACATCATTACCTGCCACCCCGGCTTCCTATTACCCTTGCCAGTCCCCTTACTACTCTCGGACCCTCCGTCCTCGTCTAGGAACTCGAGAGCGATTACACCCTCGCCCAAGGGCTCCCCAGTGAACGTGCAGGGATACGCCCGCTCCCTCAACTTGTTGGCCTTCTTCCGCTGCCTCGGCTCCCTAATGGTCACGGCCTTTTTCCCCCCCACCTTAACCCCCACGCTCCCTCCCCCTTCACGCACATGCTGTGATCCCGCCTCTGTCGCCCCCCTTCCGCCACCCTCTCCCACCTCCTCCTCCCGCCCCTCTGGCTCCAACCCATCCATCTCGTGGTCTTCATCATCATCATCTCCCCCCTCCCCACCGCCATGCGTCTCTGGGTCCCACGCCGCCTCGCTGTCATACCCGCTCCCCTCACTGTCCTCCTCCTTCTCGCCCTCACCATCCTCCTCCTCATCCTCCTCCGCACTGCCGCTCTCCGGCTGCGTCTGCCCCGAAGGAGGGGGTCGAGGGCCGTCGTAACGGAAAGAGCGACGGGAGGTCGGCGCCGGTACGGTAAGCAACACCCCAACGAAGATCGCGCCGGCTCCTCCTGGTCCATCCCCTACCCGCCCTTGCATAGGTCGTGGTGGAGAACCCGGTGCGCTGCCTTGAGCCCTGCCTGCACCTCTCCCTATGGATCCACCAGCCCTGGAAGCCATAACTCAGCCCTCTACCCTAAACCCTAAAACACCCTTCGTGCAACGGTAGAGTTGGATGGTGCCGCACGTTCCTAATAGTTATCCCGCACGGTAAGGTATCTGAAATACGCCCTACTTGAGCCCTTTGGGGAGATGCTGGCTGAACCTTAATTAATAGCAACCCTAAACACCCTACACTACGCTAAACCCTATGCATAATACATCTAATGTCCGTGTATATTGCAAGTAAGTATCGGCGTGCACTTGCTTGCACCTAGAACAAGAAGGCTAGGGCGGCTGTGTGAGGGAGCGCTAAGGCAAAAACGCATTCTGAGTTTGAGCTCACGAAATGAGCTCAAACAAAAATTGGTCGCGACCTAAATCTGGTCGCGGCCTATTTTGACGCGAACATTTTTGGTGTTCGCGTGGCCCCCAAGTCGAACACGAACATGTTCGTGTTCGGCTTGGAGGCCCGAAATTTTGGGGCGAACATCGAACATGTTCGGCCGAACACCGAACATGTTCGGCCCGAACAATTTAGGCAAAAAAAAATGCCTGTTCGGTTCGCCTCGAACATGTTCGAGGCGAACCGAACAGGCGTTCGGAATTTTGCTCATCCCTAGTTGCAGCAAGGCCAGGCAGACATGAATGTGACGGGGGTGAACAAGACATGCAAACTTAGGTTCATGAGGGGGAAACGGGTGGTGATGTGAAGTGATTCACTCGTACTCATGAGCCAGGAAGGACTCGAATAGTGGGAGGAGAAAGTTAGTGACAGTAGAGATGTTCTGAAAGAGTGAAATGGAAGCACACCAACAAGCGAAGATAAAGAAGGGAGAAGATAAGCTCATTGGAGAGATATAAAGGATATAGGTGGGGCTGGTAGGCAGGTGGTGGAGAGCAAATGAACTGAGCTGAACGAGCAAAGACACTGCTTTTGAATAGGCACTTGCAGTGCAAGAGAAAGGAGGGAAAAGAAAGGATTCGAAAACCATAGGCAGGGAGGCCTTATTAATTTCGATTTTTTTCACAGACATAATGACACTCCCTCAACACCTTCACATCATTATAAGTAGGTAAGGTAAGGCTTGCAAAACTGGCAGCAGAACCAACAGGAACAGGCCAGAACAGAAACGAATGCAAGAATATGAGGGGAAATTGTTAGAAGAGAGGAGTAGTAGGGAGTGGACTCGTCAAAGACCACATCCCGGCTGCGGATTAGACGACCGGATGGTGGGTGGAGGAAAAGGTAGTCAGGGGAGGAGGGATTATGACCAAGGAAGATGCAGGGAAGGGTACGAGGGGCAAGCTTTCCCATGGAACGGGAGCGGTCAGAGGGGTGAATGAGGACATGTGCCTTAGAGCCCCAGACACGAAGTGATGAGGCATCAGGCTTGTCCTTCGTCCACAGCTCAGTGGGGGTGATGGAGGGGAGAAGGGGGTGAGGGTAAAGGTTAGTAAGGAGGGCGGCATGAAGGAGGGCATAGCCCCAAAAAGAAGGGGGGCAGGAGGCGTGGACAAGCAAACACCGGGCTGTTTTGGTGATCTCTCGAACACGACTCTCAGCCACGCCGTTCTGCTGTGGGGAGTGAGGGAGGGTGTAAGTCTGAAGGATGCCACGAGACTGACAATAGGAGGAGACTTGGTTGTTAAGGAACTCACCACCTCCATCAGAGTGAAGGCGGCGAACAGGGCGCCCAAAATGGGTGTTTGCCCGCTCGAGCCAGGCGATGATCGCAGCCGGGGCATCCGCCTTCGTCCGAAGGAGAGAGACGGACGAGTACCGACTGTGATCATCAACAAGCACGAGAAGGTAGCGATGGCCCTGGCGAGTGGGAGAGGGATTAGGGCCCCATAGGTCCATGTGAACAAGATCAAGTGGCTCCGCAGCAGCGGAGGGGGAGCTCCGGTGCGGCTGCTGCTTGAGCTTGCTCTGAACGCAGACGGTGCAGGGGGGGGCAGGGGATTTGGGGAGGGGAGGGAGGAAGGAAGGGAGACTGTGGAGGAGACCGGAGGAGACAGAGGAGCGCAGAGTAGCGAAGTTGGGGTGGCCGAGCCTGTGATGGAGGAGGATGGTGGGGTGGGAGAGGGAGCGACAGGAACAGTCAGAGTCAGGAGGGTGGGGTGGGAGGGGTGGGTTAGTGAGAGGGAGGGAGGGGGGGGGGGGAAGGAGGGGGGGGGGAGGCAACTTGGAAGGTGAGGGGGCGGGGAACCCGAAGGGTGTACAGACGGGAGCGAGGACAATAGGGAATACGGGCGAGAAAACGACCTGTGGAGGTTTGGTATAGGTCACAATGGTTAGCACCACCTGGGATGAGAGTGGTGATCATGGCTTGTTGGAGGGACCTTTGGGAGAGGAGGTTAGTACGAAGGGAGGGAATGTGGAGACCGGTGACAGTACCTGAGGGAAAGAGAGGACAGGGAAGGGTGGAGGTGTTGTGACAAGGGATGGAAAAACTGCTATCAGCGCCGAGGAAGGAGGTTGGTGTGGGGAGAGGGCACAGTGTACCAGCGTCGCGAAGGACAGTGTCAGTGGCTCCACTGTCCAGAACGAAGTCAATGGTGGAGGAAGGTGAGGCAGAGTACTGGAACGAAGTTTCATTAGCAGAAGAAGGGTACATGGGAGATGCAACAGATTCAGGTTGACCTAATAAACCAACAAAACCAGAGGAAGGGAAAGCGGTCACACTGCCACCTGCAGACGGCGCCGGGGACGCACCCGAGAGATGGGTTGCAGAGGCAGCACTCCCAGTAGTCCAGGTAGGAAAGGGCTGCTGCTGGGAAACCGGAGGAGGAGGGAGGAGGGGCAGTTGCGGCTGGAGGTCGAGCTGCTGTTGGAGATGCTGGAGCTGCTGCAGGAGTTGAGAGAGGAGAAGCTGTTGCCCATACTGCTGCTATGATGCGAAAGACGCACGGAGGACGCTGCGTCCTGCGTCTGGACGCAGTGTCTGGACGCTCGGACGCAGGACGCGCGTCCAAACGCAGGACGAACATCGAATTTTTTTCGGGCTGCCCCGAAAAAAAAATCCCGATCGCGAAATTTAGATTCGCGATTTCGACGCGACTGTCGAAATCGCGAAATTTAGATTCGCGATTTCGACGCGACTGTCGAAATCGCGAAATTTCGACCCCCCCCCTTAGCACAAACGCCATTTCGTCACCCTTTGAGATAACCGTTACTTCAAAACGGTTAACTAACACTAGAACCTAAGTTTGGGAACGAGCTAGGTGAGAGATGGCATGATGAGAAGCTAGGGGTGAGCTGAGCTTGCGCTAGAGCTTGCACAAAATGTCGCGCAGCTCAAATTTGACTGGCACGACATTTGTCGGGGGGGTCAAATCCCCGCAAGAATGAGATCTGACAAAATTGACTCAAATTAGAACAAAAACCGCATTTCATCGCACTGAATCTAGAATTTCCAACCAGTCTATCAATTCCCATCCCAGGTCGACCAGATCTGGCCGCATTTGTTGGCCTGAGATATAGTCGACAGCGTAATAAACTAGGGGGTTTTTCTCGACTAGCATATATGTACAGCTGACGAAGCAAATTGTCGCAGGGGAAAGAGGCGGGCCAGAACAGCCCGACCCGCCCCCGTGCTCATCCAGGGACTATAACAATTTTTTTGCTTACCCGTGGGGTTTTTTTGCCCTGCCCGGGCTTGCGTCTTTTGGTGCGACTTTCTGGTCCTGGTGCTGCGTCCTGCGTCTGGACGCATGCGTCTGGACGCATGCGTCCAGGACGCAGGACGCGTCTTTCGCAACATAGTACTGCTGTGACCCCTGCTGCTGATTTCCAAGCTGCTGCTGCTGTTGCTGCTGCTGGTGCTGCTGCTGGGGAGGGGCGAGGGCCTGGTGGGCGTGGGTGGAGGAGGGAGGTTCATAAAGGGGAGAGGAACGGACCTCAAGAGGAGTGGGGCGAGGGTTGAGGGCGGACCAGCGAGGAGGGGTGCCGGTGTTGCCACGGGCAAACCACTCATCACTGAGTGCCTTGAAGCACGTCTCAGTGGCATGGGTGGTTTGGCCGCAGCGCTGTCCCTGAGTGGGACCGTAGCGAGGCAGGTACTGACAGGGAGGAAAGACAGCTGCCGTACCACGACCCGCACCACTGCTGCCAGCACCACCGCGACCTGCTGATCCCCCTCGTCCACCCCCACGCCCACCACCACGCCCACCCCCACGCCCACCGCCACGTCCACCCCGGCTGCTGCGCGACTGGGCTGCTGCGGCAGTGGAGGAAGAGTGGCGAAGGATCTCAGCTTCGGTGGTGATAATCCACTGAGCGACTTCGGCAGGGGTGTGGTGCTTGGAGATAAGCTGCATGTAAGCAAGCTTGTGAGCGTCGAAGGCAGGTGTGAGGCCCTCGAGGAGGTGGCAGCAGATGACGGTGTCCGGGTACACCACATCGAGTGTTGCAAGGCGCCGAGCAAGGTCTAAGACACGGCGAGTGAAAGCAGCTGCACCAGAAGTGGAATCCATGGAGAGAGTTCCAAACTCCTTGATAAGGGCGTAAAGAGTGGCAACGTCCTGCCGATCGAAAAGGTCAACTAGAAGTCGCCACAGGTGGGAGGAGAAGGTAGGTGAGAGCTCGCGTTTGAGGGAGGAGGGGATGGTGGCGAGAAGAATGGCAAGCGCACGCCGATCAGCAACCCGCCAGGCATTAATTTTCGTGGTGTAGTCTCCAAGTTCTGCAGTGTAGGTGTCCAGGTCTTCTTGGTACTTGTTGTAGCGGGCAGCGGCGTCGTCATAGATGCGCCTGTCGTCCTCGTAACGCAATTGCAGGCGCAGGTGCTCTTGGAGATTGGTGCGGTAGGTGCGAATGGCGGTTTCCGAGCTCTGCGGGTCGTTGACATTCGGCGCGAAGGTGGGAGGATCACCGGGGGGAGAGGGCTCGGCGCCAGGGTGGGCGGGGGCAGGTCCAGTAGGAGCGGTGGGGGCCACGGGCTGAAGTCCACCGCCTTCCTGAAAGACAACCGAGCGAAGGTTGTAGCCGCTGACCACAACAGAGGAGAGGAGCACCTCAACGGAATGAGCATAAGAGTGCCAATTAGCAGCAGAGTTGTCAGGCAGCAACTCGAGTGCGTCAACAGTGGCAAGGTCGACGGAAGAATCGGACGACGATGCCATAGAGATGAGGATGGGTAGAGGCTAGGGCAGGAGGAGGATGGTGCGAGGGTACCCTTGCCAATGCTGCTGCTGGCCCTGCTGCCCATGCCGCTGCTGGTTCTGCAGCTGGTGCCGCTGCGGATGCTGCTGCGGGTAGGATGGGAGGAGGAAGGGAGGAGCGGAGGGTGGGGAAGGTGGAGGAGGAGGAGGGCGATGCTATGAGGGATGCAAGGGGGAAGGGTGCTACTGGTGGTGCCGCTGCAGGTGCTGCTGCTGGTGCTGCTGCAGGTAGGATGGGAGGAGGAGGACGGTGGAGGAGGAGGGCGATGCTATGGGGGAGGCAAGGGGGAAGGGTGCTGCTGGTGGTGCCGCTGCTGGTGCTGCTGCTGGTGCTGCTGCAGGTAGGATGGGAGGAGGAAGGGAGGAGCGGAGGGTGGGTTGGGTGGAGGAGGAGGAGGAGGGCGATGCTATGGGGGAGGAAAGGGGGGAGGGTGCTGCTGGTGGTGCCGTTGAGGTGCCGCTGATGATGCTGCTGCGGGTACAATGGGAGGAGGAAGGGAGAGAGGGGGGGGGGAGGGGACGAAGAGGGCAGCCGTGCGGCAGATCCGCGCGACTGGGAAGCCCGTGGCGAATGCACGCGGGACAGCCCGCGGCAAACGAGCGGGACGTGCAGAGATGGGCGCGAAATGGTCAGATTTCAGTGCGGGAGATGCAGATCTGGTCGCGCGGAGGGCAGATCTGGTCGCGCGGAGGGCAGATCTGGTCGCGCGGAGGGCAGATCTGGTCGCGCGGAGTGCAGATCTGGTTGCGCGAAGGGCAGATCTGAGCGCGCGGAGGGCGGATCTGGGCGGGCGGAGTGCAGATCTGGGCGCGCGGAGTGCAGATCTGGGTGCGAAATGTTCAGATCTGGGCGCGGGAGGAGATCTGGTGGCGCGGAATCCAGATCTGGGCGCGGAATGATCAGATCTAGGCGCGGGAGGAGTAGATCTGGTCGCAGGGAGTGCAGATCTGGGCGCTGGAGTTGCAAATCTGAGCGTGGGGAGTGCAGATCTGGGCGCTGGAGTTGCAGATCTGAGCGCGGGGAGTGCAGATCTGGGCGCTGGAGTTGCAGATCTGAGCGCGGGGAGTGCAGATCTGGGCGCTGGAGTTGCAGATCTGAGCGCGGGGAGTGCAGATCTGGGCGCTGGAGTTGCAGATCTGAGCGCGGGGAGTGCAGATCTGGGCGCTGGAGTTGCAGATCTGAGCGCGGGGAGTGAGATCTGGGCGCTGGAGTTGCAGATCTGAGCGCGGGGAGTGCAGATCTGGGCGCTGGAGTTGCAGATCTGGACGTGCCTTGGAGGGCAGCGCCTTAGGGGGCGCACGGGGAGGGAGGACAGTGCCTAAAGGGCGCGTGAAGGGAGGGCAGCTCCGTGGGTGGGGCTAGATCTGAGGAACGGGGAGGAGAGGGTGGCCTAAGGACCGAGGGAGGTAGGCGTGAGCCATTAGCTCATGATACCATGTTAGAAGAGAGAGAATTGATACATTGAATAATGAGCCAAGAGGCTCGTTAGTACAAACAATGAGCAAGAGAGAGACGAGGGAAGCTTACCCTATTGGCCAATAAGTTGGCCAATGGGTGAGCTTGCTTGTGACCCAAGCAACCACAAATGTGTGTTGGTTGGGATTGGTTGAGCTAAGGACCAATCCCAACCAACCACAAAATGTGGTTGGAGGGTACACTAAGCAACCCCCCAATTTATAAATGTGCTACACTTCTAGCCTATGTATGTTGTATGAAATATGAAATTACAACAGAAATATGGCATGCTGCACAAGGTGAAAAGCTCAGCCCAGCCTGCATGTCATGGAAAGTGCAATTTTGGCTCTGCCAGCTCTTCTCCTTACCACAGTCAGGTAGGCGAGAGAAGCCGGAGCGAGCACACAACCAGGGGATCTGATTGTAGAGGGCGAGGGATAGCAGAAATGGTAGTGAATACCATATTACGAGTGAGAAAAGTCCCGAGCGGTGCATTGGCCGTTTGAGGTGCTCTTTGCGCCGAGACGGACGAATCGTGAAGCCGACTAGCAGCATGGCTTGACATTCAACTCGGCTTTCAGTGAGTTAATCGGCTCGAGACGATGGGGCTGATCGGAAACCAGTTTACACTTCTAGTTTACACTTTCCAAGTCAGGTCTGACGCACTCAAGGCACCCGTTCTTCAAGGCTCCTCGGCTGGCTGGGGCTGGAGGAGAGCGCGAGACATGCCGAATCCCTCCACCCGGTGGATTATACCAGGAGGAGGTCCACACAGGGTGGGTCGCAAGTCGCAAGGCTCGTGGCGAGCCTGGCAGCTTTCTGAGAGCCTGCTCGGCTTGCGCATTATATTCAAGCCACATGTCGGACACACACACAGTTTGGCTCGCAGCGAGTCAGGCTCAGCTCGGCAGTACTCACGCATAGAACCAAAGTCGATCCAGGCCCTAAGTTACAAAAAGCGAGCTCAAGCGGGTAACAACGAGCCTTATTCGACCCGGTCAGCCATTGCTCACGCATAGACCACACCACACCATAGGGATGAGCAAAGGGCGAACACGAACATGTTCGTCTTCGCCCCTTGTCGAACACCCTCTTTTGCCGAACCGAACACTGTTCGGTTCGGCGAACAGGTTAGGAAAAAACAGGTGTTCGCTGTTCGCCTGTGGAGGCGTGTTCGGGCGAACCTCGAACACGTTCATGTTCGCCACGGGGCGTTCTGCAGCAGCGCCACGAACACGAACGTGTTCGGGCGAACATCGAACACGTTCGGGCGAACGATTTAAGCTGAAAAACAAAACCTGTTCGGTTCGCCTCGAACACGTTCGAGGCGAACCGAACAGGTGTTCGCCACCTTGCTCATCCCTACCACACCACACCAGTGTATTATGGTATGGACCACATCACATGCTATGCTATGTATGTCAAGTCTCACACAGGCAAGAGAATTGTTGGCCGGGTCACAAATAGGCTACGTCAATATGAGGCTAGCCACACAGGTCATCCCACCAGAAGCTAGGACAGTCACAGGCTAGTTGACATATAGGCTTCGTCACCCACACGCCCTAGGTCACAGGCAAGGTCATGCACAGGATATGCCAGTCACAGTCCAGGAAAGCTATAGGCCACAGGTTAGATCAGTCAAGAGCTAGGTAAGCCACATGGTATGCCCATAAAAAATCTAGGTCACACATGGACTAGGTAAGTTAAAGCATTGTACATTCAGGGGTAAGTCACACAAGCTAGTTCAGTCACAAAGCTAGGTCAGTCACACAAGCTAGGTCAACTGGCTGGCTGAGGAACAACTAATTTCTTCCCCCAATATTTTGCGAATCGCCGTTTTCTCAGGAAGAGTCGCGGAAAAACAGAACACTCTATATTCAGATCGGTAACTTTCCCCCATTTCATTTACCACCCTCAAGCACACCTTACTGCATCTACCTGCTCAACGAATTTTGTCCGCACAAATCTGCTGCACGTAGACTAACTATATTCCTGTCAAAGGAAGAAGAGAGGAAGAGTATAGTTAGGGGGTCAGGAGGTCACCTGTATATTCATCAACAGTCCTCATAAGATAGGTCAGTCAAAGGAGTAGTCCCTCGAGAGACAGGTCGATCAGAGGCGAATTCGCTCGTAACAATAGGTCAGACAGAGGCAGATTCCCTCATAAAACAGGTGAGTCAGAGGCAAAGTCCCTCATAAAAAAAGCCAATCAGAGACTAGCCCCCCCACAAGCTAGGTCAGCCAATGATAATGAGAGGCCAGGTTGGTTACAAGCTAGGGATCGCACAAAATAGGCCAGTCGTACAAGTTAAGTCCAAACAGAGGTTAGGTCAGTCACAAGCTAGGTCACGCACGCCTTAGAGGTTGGGTCAGTCACGCGACAGCGTGACCGCCAGAACCAGGCCGAAGGGAATTAGCACGAAATGACGCCTGGTGTGATTATACTCAAAATCGATGCAAGCGAGACGATACGTAACTTGACGTGTCACATCGGGCTCTGACACAACTACAAGCACCACGGTTCGTTGTGATGCTTACAATGCGGAAGACCGAGTCCAGGAACAGAAAAGCGAGACTCAGGAGCCGAAAGAAAAATCGTACCTTTATCTAGGGTTTCCCGGACTATGGCGTTTCCGCGGCTCTCGGAGTGACTGGGAAGCGCCGAGAAGACAGGATACGAGCGGCAACGAGTGACGCGGCCGTTGTACGGCTGCGATACTTCGTATCACCTCGTCTAATGATGGGGCAATACTATGGCGTCTGTCACGTCGCGTGCTTGGCAAAAGGCGGGTAATTCGGGTATTAGAAGGGGTCCGAAATTGTGACTTGTGTCACAGATCGGCACGACCCTGTTTCTCGATAATGACAGAGGTTGCAACATGTGAAGTGACTAGCAGGTAACTGAGCCTCGCTGTTGCGACTGTAACAGAATTCACAATTGCCCTCCCCCACTTTTCGCTGTTATCGCGAATATCCAGTTCAATTCGCTCAATGTCGAAGTGGATATTTTCCTTTCACGAACGTTTGCGCTTGTCGAACACATTGAGCAAACCAGATTTGTAATCCTGTGTCACTTCAACCTTGAAGAAACACCTCCTTGGTGTCGATCTCTAACGGCCATCTGCATTCATGACTAAATCCAAACGACATGACAACGTTTGGATAGAGCATCGCAGTCAGTCCATTCGACGACCGGCTAGACAAACTGCGCGAAATGCGGAATCCACCTCTATTCGTCATTCCACGCAACGTTACATCTTTCCCACCCTTCCCCATTTCCAGCCAGTGGCACCGCAATGCTGACGCTGGCCAAAGTCACCGTGACCCGCGCAGCTTCCAGGTCCTCCCATTACACCTCGCCTCGCAGCGCCGCGTTCGTGAGAAACTAACCTTCAGCGACGTCGCTGCCACGCGGCGCTCTGCCCAGGCGCTGCTCCCAACAGGTATTTGAGCTGATTCCACTCGCACGGTTTAGCCGTTCAAATGCTGCGCGGATTTAGTCCAC